GCATTTAGTACAAAGGCAAATTTTTACCGCGATCACTCAATGACGTCCAGGTGCACCGTGTTTCCAAACTGTTATAGTTTTTTTGATTTGACCAGGCAATTACACAATATACATCCAATAATGAAATTCACATCCTTTTCACTTTTCTATTTCAGTCTTAACGCAAACAAATGAAATCAAATTTTCAGAGATGTTGTTTATGGGGTAAAAAACGACAACTTCTTAGTATAAGTGGAAAATAAAATTCAATACAAAAAATAAAATTTTAACCACCTACATTCTTGTTGTTTACCTATATATTTTTAAAAGCACATCGAGTTTTATACGCGAAACGGCTATTTTTTCGCGGAAGCGGCAACGTGGATTCATCTCGCGCTGATTATTCAGTTCCGAGATCTCGTCGACCAAAAGAAAAAAAAAACCTTATCTCGCGTGCACATACGACGAGATAACGCGCTTTAAATCGAGCAGCGCGCAGTGGGTCGCGAAAATCGAGTGGGCCGTGCCTCTCACCTGTCGTCGATCGGCGTTTGTTTTTCTTTTTAGCGTTCGATTTCGTTCGCGCGCGCCACTGCCTGGCTGGACGTTCAACTGACCGCGTGGTGCGGGTTGGGGAGGGGGATTCCGTCTTGTTAAAAACGGTCGCTGCTGGGCGGGGTAGTGCGGGGAACTGTAACGTCCTAACGCACGCCAATGCACCGCGATAGTCGGACGATGACGTCGCGAAGTGGCCTCCATTAAACGTCCATTCAGTGGTGACGAGGTCGAAATGATAAACCGGTAACTCTGTTTCGTTTTTTTTTTTATATATATATAATTGCGTCCTCCGGTATAGTTTAGTACAAAATAGACCTCCATCTATCTAAACGTGAGACAAATTTTATAATAGAATAAGACGACTAGTAATGGCGATTTTTGGTTTCTATTGCTCATTTATACAGGGTGTTTCGAAATAAACGCAACCAAGTTTTTACGGCTCAGTGTACGTCTAGAATAAATCCTGGTTTCCGACGAAAAGGTTCCTTTCCAAGATACAGGATGTTGAAATTCTAAAAATGTCGATTTTTTTTATTAATATTTTCAAATCAGTCTAAAATTTTCAACAAATCAAAACTAAAGTGGCTTTTACCTGATGATAATCAATTTGACACAATTAAATTAGAATGAATGTTGTTAATTTTTACAGTTATTTGTTGGTTTATGTTTCGGCAACACCGTGCCTTTATCAAATACAAAAAATGTTAATATTCCGACGTCTGTCCCCCATAAATGGTTGGATCCCCATTTATTTTTGTACCTACCCCTGTATATAGCAAGCACATATATAATTAAAATTTCGAACTTTTGACATAAAAACAGTATGTCAAAATGTCAAAATGACAGAAGTTCGCCATTTTACAACGATTTGAGCCAGGCTTAACACCACTGGAGTTTTTGGTTTTGGGGATATCTAACAAGTAACATTATTGTTACAGAACCAAATTCTTAAAATGGCGCCCTGCTGTCATTTTGGCATATTGTTTTTATGTCATAAATAGATTCTTAATTCCCATTGTAGGTTAATACATTTTAATTTAAAAACGGAGACGCATTTAAAGCCAATTGGTCATTAAGTAATAGATTCGAACATCTCATTTTGTTAATCTCCATAGCTTCCAACAATTTTTTTGCTCTTTGATTCATTATGTAAAATATGAAAAGTATTTTATTTATTACGCCCTTTTAGGCTCGTCAATTATGTATTGTCCGTTATAAAGTGTGGGACATGATTAACTCCGAATTTTTAAGTTTTTCGTGATTCAGTTTTATTGTTTGAAATGGTTGAAAATGGCAGCCATTTTGTGTGTGTAAGGGTGATTTGAGTTATTATTTGTTACTGTGTCCGTGTCCTATGTCTAGAAAGTTTAAAGAGTTATGTATGACATTTTATACTTTGTTAATGAAACTTTCTGCATGTAGTGAATTTCCCATAATTGATCCTTCTTTCTCAATATTAAATTGCCAAAATAATTTTGGTCTAAACAAAGTTTTAAACTTGATTTATCTCTGAGTGGGACTATTGTCTATTATGATTATTACGTCAGTCGGTGGAATATTAGGAAATAGGACGTCAAAGAAAACTATAATTGCCTTAGCAGGAATTTTAATGTTGTTGATTAGTTCGAACGAATTTTGCCTTTTGCCACTTGAAAGCGGCCCACAAAATGGGATTGAAATATACAGAGTGGTTTGAAAATAATAGTAAAGAAATAGTTTTTTCGTAGAATTTCAATGGTTGTAAAATAAAAATAAGTATTTTTCTTGAGATCGAACGCTAGACACAATAATAAGAAAAGTAAAATAGCGGTTTAATTATTCTTATGATGTAAACAAAAGAAAATGTACGAGGTAGGTGTGTTCAAAAGGTGACTTTCCTAAGAAAGAAAGCATTTCCGGGCATATGTATGCAATTAGGGCTTATTTTGGACGCTTAGATTATGCCATAAAAATGAATTGGTCTCATTGTTTTGATTTATGTAATTGATTATGTCAGTACTTCAGAAATTCAGAACATTTGATCTTTTCTAATTTTTTTTGGAATAACAAATTCGTCAGAAAATAGTGGTTCTGTAATTTTAAACATTGAAATGTTAAAGGAAGGAAAAAGATGGCGCATTTTTTCCTACGATGGCACTTTCGAAAAATCGATCTTTTCGAAAAAATACACGCTCCTCACTAAACTCGAGATCTAGGTAACGGTAGGTCCTGTGGGACCCCCATTGGTCCAGAAATAATCAGCGTGGAAAAAAAATTTTTTTTTGTCTGTCCGTTCTCCGTTCTCTGTTCCAGGGGTTTTCGACGATAACTTCCTAACGGTTTGAGCTACACGCTTCAAATTTTGCCCCTTTTTAATCGCCCGCGGGGTGCATAAGATATTTAAAAAATATGTAAAACGCTTTGAAAATTGTTATTTTCCAGAGTAAATTATATTAACCGCAAATCAAAAATGGCAAAAAATATGGCTAATCGGTTTACAAAAAATCAAAACGCGATGACGTCATTTACTGTTACGACGCACCGCATGGCTTCAGAAAACAAGTATTTTCACGCACCTCTATTTTGTACATTGTTTGAATTATATACAGGGTGTGTCGTTTATGAACAAAAAATCTAAAAGATCCTAAAAATTGCCGTTTTCGTGGGTGTAAGTGAAAAACCGTAAATGAAAAACTGTAAAATATGGGATAGATCGATTTAAGCAGTATCGTAAATTGTGTCGAGAGACAGTTTCAGGTTTCGTGTATCATACAGGGTGCGCGAGATATTTGAAAAAATATAATCCGAATTCGAAAATTATTTGTTCAAATTTTAACATTTATCAAAGTTTGCCGTGAGTTTGAAGGTCGGCGGGACGTGAAAGACACTTTATACAGGGAATTTTTCGAAAGTATCTGCGCTATCGCCGTTGGTACAGAAATGATCTGTCCGTTCTCCGTTCTCCGTTCGCGTCTTGTGGTTTTTCCTGAATAACTTTCGAACCGTTGGAGCTACAAAATTGGAATTTGCCTACTTTTTAACCCTCCACGAGGCACATAAGCTTATAAGAAATGGTCCTTATCCGACCCCGGTATCCATCTTTTTTTCGCGATTTTCTACTGGTTTTTGGACCTTGCTATGAAACACGATAAGTGTCCGAAATTTGAAGCAATCGACTTCATATTTGGCACATATATGCAGGTTTGCCCCATGACGAAGCCTATTGAAAATGGGGGTTGGGGTTCGGGAAGTATTCTAAAGAAATAAAAAATCGCTCGTGCGATCAATCAAATTTTACCAAGTATTTTTTAAAAATGTTTGAAATTTTATTTTTTTTTGGTAATTTTAGCTTCCAGAAAAATATGTTTTCTCCCACAATCGTTCATCCGATTGGCATAATTCTTTAATCGGCAGACGCAGTGCAATAACATTTATTTCGGCTATTTTTTTGATTATATACAGGGTTTTCAAATTATAGGCAAAAATGTAAAAAACCTAGAAAATTGTTCTTTTACAGAGTAAATTATTAGTCGCAAATCAAAAATCGTAAAAAAATATAGCTGATTGGTTCAAACGGTGTCATAGGCCGCATCCAGAGCTACAATTTTCGTATTTGTATGTTTTTTTCACACATACATCAAATACGCTGCTCGGGATATTTGAAAAAGTCCATATTGAAATCGTTATTTCGGGGGCTGTCAAGACGCGATGACGTCATTGATTATTACGGCGCACTCGAAAACCATTTACTATTTTCAAAAAATTCTTGAACCAGGACGAGTCGAAAATCCAGGGCTATAACATCTACTTCGAACAATGATTGTATCATATACAGGGTGTGTCGTTTATGGGCAAAAAATCTAAAATATTCTAAAAATTTTCTTTTTTTTTGGGTAAATTATTTGGCGATAAATGAAGAACTGGATAATTTTATTTGAAACGGTATCGTAAACCGTCAGAGTTTCAGGTTTCGTCAATTTTTGTGCAAATTTTTATATTTATCGATGTTTATACAGGGTGCATGCATAATTAAATTACATTGGTTTTGCGAAAGTTCTATAGTGGTCGCAGGAAGATTTTTTTCGAGAGCAATCTTGTTATTAATATAGATGACTGATTATTTTCTAGCAGTAGCAGTTCCAATTTTCATCGCCAAATACAAACTAGATGTGATTTATTTGCTCTTGACAAATTATATTTTATTCGATATTATATGATATATATTTTTTTATATTCCGTTTTTTTTTTGGTGTTGTTTTAATTTTTATTGCATGGACAGAGTTTTAGGCCAATCGTTTATTGAACAAATTATAATATTTTCATGCAGACTCATCTGCTTAAATATTCGCTTATCATTAAGGAACACCCTTACGTCCGCTAACGGTGGTGATACGAGCTTAAAAGGCAATTTCTCGGGATCGAGTTTGTCGAGACAATTTTTTTCCTTCGCAACAATAAAGCAACGTTCGACGTTTCGTCCTCAGGCGGAAGCTAGAGGGCGCCCTATCGACTAGCCGGAGCCACGCGAGCTTCCACGTGGCCGGAGGAGGCGGCGCGAGGTGGGATGCTCCGTCGTCCGCCGAGCACCGCGAAACCAGCACCGGGAAGCCGTCGTCGGCGTCTTCAGGTTTGCGACGCTCTCACACGCACACGGCGGGCGCGATGCCGCGCTCTATCGCCGACCTCAAGGCCAAGCTCCAGGAGCGGGGCGAAAGGGACTGGATGAAACGCGTGCAGGTCAACAACAACAGCTGCGACGAGCTGAAGCTGCTCAAAGAAAAGAACCGCTACAACGTGAGTACCTAATGCTAATAATTTGGTCCTTCGAGCCGGATTCGCGCGCTAACGAATGAAATCGTCGTCGTCGCGCGTTTTCGACGACCTCGAATTCGTCGCGATCGATCGCTTTCGAAACGAGGACGAAGCGGTATAAAAATAAACGTATTTGGCGCGATATTGGCGAACTTCCTTTCTCGACGTTATCGTCGAAAACGGAAACCGTCCGTTTACGTTTTTTTTGTCTTCGCTTCCGCCAGGCGAAATATCGAAGACTACCTTTAATCGTTTTTTTTGAGCCACGCGATCTGCGGCGGACGCGGCCAAGCGGCTAATCAAAAACGTCAGAAATATTAATTCGATAACGCAGTGTCGAGTTGAGTTTTCTTGCGGTCGCTTGGTACCGCCCGGACGCCATGTTTTTTGCTGCGGCGTTCTGTTTTTTTATCGCCCTTTTCGTATGGTTAGGTCTCCGACATAGACGTTCTCTGGATCGTCGGGTCGCAGAACGGTCTTTTGAGGTTAGAATACTCCGGACTTTTACTTACGTCATATCTTGCGTCCACATTAAATATTTTATTTGGGGTATATTTTAGAATGTTTAATTATTTTTCTATATTTGTCTTTTAACAACATTCACCAAACCTAATTTCATTTAACTTGTTTTAAATTGTTTTAAAATGGAGTGGCGTCGTAAGGGTGAAGCACTTCTAAGAAAATTCAGAGTCTGCCAGCCAACAAAAAAGGTTATGGCCACTGTCTTTTGGGATTGTGAAGGAATTCTTTTGATAGATTTTAAGAAACTAATACCCCTGTCAATGGTAAATATTACGCAATAGTATTACATAAATTGCGAGACTGCATACGTGTAAAACGTCGAGGAAAACTGTCCAGAGGCGTGAGTCTTTTGCACGATAATGCACCTGCCCATGCTGCTGGTGTTGCACACGCTGCCATTTTAGAGTGTGAGTTCCAACAGATAGATCATCCTCTCTATAGTCCAGATATGGCCCCCAGCGACTGTTATTTGTTTCGATATTTGGAAAAGGACTTACGTGGACGGCGGTTTAACGACGAAGTTGAGTTAAAAGAGGCTGTTCTAGCTCATTTTTCAGACAAACCAAACGAATATTTTTTTAAATGCATTGAGTTGTTAATAAAGATATATAATAAGTGTATTGAACTTAAGGGGGTTTATATTGAAAAATAATAAAAAAAAAATTACTCTACTTTGCTCTCGTATCTCCTTAAAGAGCCCTTTCGAGAACATCATACGTATGACATAATATCAATTACTAATATTATAAAACGTTTTACACGACGCAGTAGTATTGGACTATTGCAAAACGTTTTGGTTTTGGCGACATACGACATAATACCAACTGCAGATATTATAAAATGTTTTAAATAATATAAGACGTCGACAAGGCTGCTGCATTTCACCTACACTCTTTAACATCTATTTAGGGGGGTGAGGAATACTGAAGTCAGAGATGAAATGGGGATAGATATTGACATCCTGGAAACTATAAAATGTAAAAGGTTGAAATAGTATGGCTACGAAAGGATGAATGATCAGCGATGGCCAACATGACTGTTAGAATGGATCCCCACCAATCGCAGAAAAAGAGGTAGACCAAGAAAATCGCGGAACCAAGAAGTATACTGTGCAAAGGTGGATAGAGACTAGAAGCATATGACGGAAATGATCGTAAGCGTTGGAAGCTAGGATGCCCGAAACGGCGACAGCTGTAAAAAAAACTCGTTATATACCACAGATGGATACTACAGATATTACAAAACATTTGCGCGGTACTATATTATTTACGCGTATTATTACACAACACAAGACTTCAAATTGTTTTCCATAGGAGAACATTATTTACATCTTTTTTGTAGGACGAATTGTCGGAGAAGTCGGTCCTGGCCGCTCGAAAAGACGAGCTCGACGCGGCGTCGCGCCAATGGAAGACGCGCGTCGAAAAGAGCGACGCCGAAAAGTTCTCGGTGGCCGGGAAAATGGGCGTCAAGGTCGACAAGGAGTCGGAGGCGGCGCCGCCCACCATAAACATACCGGCAACGGACAACAAGAAGAGGACGCCGCAGGCGAAAAGGTACAAGGGCAAGGACGATCCCTCGTCGACCCCGTCGTCGCCGGAAAAGAACAAACTGTTCGACTTGACCCGCAGCAAGTCGGCTCTTTATCCCGCCGTGTTCGCCCAAGAGAAAACGGGTAAGCAACAATTTAGTTTTGGTTCCTAAGAAATGCTCGCTAAAGTTTTACGAAAAAAAGCACTAAATGTACCCACAGACAGTATGAACCTGAAAAGAGAAGGTTTTGCACAAATACTTTTATTACGGAACCTTTTATACAATGCAATATCAGGTGCGTATTATACGACGCGAGGTTTAACACTTTTAAATATTACGTAGCATTAGCATTTTACATCGCACAATTTTATTTGCGTATTATACTACACAATATTTTACACAAGATAATATTTTAATATTACGCAAATGTGTAGTTTTAAACTTCACAATATTACTTTTATATATTACGCACATATCAATTAGGTATTGTAATGCTATATATTACGCTACACATACCTCTCGCGTATTATACGCAGTGTAATATACCTTCCATATATTACGCTATATCTATATCTTTTACACGACAAAATATCTCTTACGTATCGTACTACACAATATTTTACAGCACATAATACTTGCGTATTCTTATACTACGCAATGTTTTATACATCATAATATGACATATATATTAATGAACAACTTGCACAACATAATGTTCTACACAGCGTAATATTTAAATATTACGCAAATGTTTACGCCCTAGGCCATCAATTGCATATTATACTACAGAACATTTTAGATACTTCCACCATATATTACGCGACCTTTTAAACGACAAGATATTTCTTTTATGTATTACGCACACGTCACTTGCGAGGTTTTACACACTACTATATATTACGCTTTTGTGTATGAGATGTTTTATACAGCATAATGTTACATACATATTATAACACATGCGTATTAGACTAACCAATGTTTTACACAAAATTTAAATATTACCCAAGTTTTCACACCACGGACCATAGAATATCACTGCGTATTGCACCGTTTTAGATACTATGGTACGCAAGTGACGTATGATTTAAAAAGGAGTATAATATATTAAAGTGATAGGGTAAAAGTGGGATAGATGCCCCACTTTTTGTAAGCTGACTATAACTTTTTTTTTAAAGACTAAACTAGAAAGTCAATTTTCCTACTAAATTAACTAGATAAGTTATTTAAAAAAATCTTACCTATAGCCTAAGTACCTGCGAATAAGTCATAGAGGATATATGCCTCTAAGGGCGTCTATACTCAGTCAATAGTGGGGCCTCTATCCTTTTTAGTAGGGATAGACGCCCCAGCAAATAAATAAAAATACTTAAATAATTAAGTAATTTTATAAACACACCATAAATATAAATGATACATACTATTTAAATAACAATACACACTTAAAACTTAGCTTCGAAAACGAAAGTTCTGAACACGTCAAAATGTCACTGTCACAAGAATCATGCAAGCGCGGTAAAATTTTGCAACGTTTTTTTAACTCAAGCGGCGACACGTGCAGTCCTGTCGCATCGCGTGCGCAGACTGTGCTGTGCGGGGCGAGGTTTGTCCGAGGAACTTGGTACTAGAGCGTGAACTTGGTTTTAAATTATCTTTTTTTAAGGTGCGGCGTCTATCCCACTTTAACCTGGTGTTGTATGCTGTATTATTGTTAAAATTATAAATAGATTAATATTACTATATTTTTAATATTATTAAAGACGCGGATACCACGTCCAAGATATCCAGTCGTGTGGTATCTGTGACGAAGCCGGACGACGAGACTTTCCGCACCTTCTTCGAGAGCGTCGAGTTGAAAACTTGGGGCGACGCTTCCCTGAACGTAGACCCCGCCGATTTCGACGCCGTGGAGCGACACTCGCTATTGGTGGCCAAGAAAAACGTGCGGGTGCAGCGCAGGCGGGGCGCCACCAGGAACCCGATCAAGGCGCTGGCATCGCGCAGCGACATCGCCGATGAGTACACCGAGGTTATCACCGGGGTTGCCGAAAGAGAGAAGAAAAGACTGAACATTGAGAAACGTGAGTAGTTCGTTTGTCCCGCGCCGCATGAAGAATCCTACCAAATATTTACATGGGCTGTAGTAGTTAAAACGCCGATTTAAAACGAGTCGGATAGTAGTTGTACTTAAATTACAGGCTACATTTTTATCGTGTGTTTGATTCAAGTAGCTCGTTTGTTGGTATTTTTTATATGGACTTTTTTTAACAATGCACTGTTTATTATTATGGGTCTTGCGCATCCACCATTTTAGAACTCGACTCGCAATATTCATTTTTGATGAACAATGCTTAAAAATTTGCTTGTCTTTCATACTTTGCCGCCGTTTTTATTAAGGGGCATATTGCAAATTTTTTTGAAAAATTTAGTTGTATTTTATACTTTCTCGAAAACGGTAAGTAGTAAAACCGCAGTAGTTCATTTGTTCCTTGCGTTTCACCAATGAGTAATACGTAATCCGTAAAAGTAGTTCGTTTGTCACCCGCTGTTGCTGCTAATTTTTATATTAGTCTGCGCACTATTTACTTTTTTGACGACGGGGTAATTTATTTTTCGTTTTATTAAGTGGTTTATTTGAGCCGCACATCGAGCATCTTAAAATAAGTAGGTATCGCTAATATTCGTTACGGAAACTACGTTTCGAAGTAGTTCGTTTGTCCCGTTCCCTGTAACGTCGATTTTTAACAAACCGGGAACGATCAATAAAAATGTATGCGTATTTCATGCTCTGCAGTAGTAAAACCTCAGTAGTTCACTTGCCACAACGTCTTCTTGCATTGTTCCAGTCGCCTTAAATTCTAACAAGGCGGTGGAAGCGCTCGCCGGCCTCGCCAGCAACGAGGACTTCAAAGCGGTCGCGTTGAAAAAGGGCTCCGGCCCGACGACCCTGCTTCCGTGGAAGAGCCCGATGCTGTTCCAGATCAAAGGTCGGCGGCACGTGCAGACGCGACTCGTCGAGCCGGCGCCCGGCAGCGTCAACGAGGGCGACTGCTTCGTACTGGTGACTCCCGGCGCCCTCTACAGCTACGTCGGCGCCTACTCGAACGTCATCGAACAGGCGCGCGCATCTGACGTCGCCGCCCACATCCAGAAAACCGGCGACATGGGCTGCAACGTCGCGAAAATCGTCGCGGTGTCCAACAAGTCGCCCGGGCGGCACCTGGAGGCTTTCTGGAGGGCGCTGGGCAGCGATACGGTGCCGGAGACCGTAGGCGCCGGACATCCGGACGAGGACGAGACGTACGAGACGAACATTTTGAACACCAACATGATTTACCGGCTCGAGGGCGACGAGCTGGCGCCCTACGATCGTTACTGGGGCGCCGTGCCCAAAATTCAGATGCTGAAAGAGCAGGAGGTGATCGTATTCGATTTCGGCTCGGAGATGTACGTGTGGAGCGGCAAGAACGCCCCGCTCGAGAAGAAGAGGCTCGCGTTGAAGCTGGCGCGCGACATGTGGGACGAAGGCTACAATTACGTCGACTGCGACGTGTGCCCTTTGAACGTCGCGTCCGTCCTTGGCGACAGGAAACCCGCCGGCGAGCCCGCGCAGAAAGCCTCCAAGCGTCCGGACTGGGCGCTGTTCTGCAGGATAACGCAGCACCGCGAGACCATCCTTTTCACCGAGAAGTTCCTCGATTGGCCGCACTTTTCGCGCGTCATTCGCGCTCGAGGCGCAGACGGCGGCAACAAATCCCGCACGCCGTCCATCGAAATAAAACCGTGCAACGTCGACGAGATGGCGAAGGTCAAAGACTCGGAACCGGACCTGGTGGTCGGCGACGTCCACCTAGGTCGCGGCCACTCCTACTTCGACGACGAGACGAGACGTTTGTTCAGCTACGAAACGCTCGAGATCGTCGCGTGGCGCATCATGGAGAACACGCACGAGCGTCTGGACGCCAACTCGGTCGGTCAGTTTTACGACGGCGACAGTTACATCTACAGTTGGAAGTTCAGGCAGACGGTCAAGGGGCGGGAACTGAACGGCAAACCGTCGAAACACGCGCCCGTCGGCAAGGACAGGTGCATTTTCTTCTGTTGGCACGGCGCCAAGTCGTCGGTGAACGAAAAGTGCCTGGCCGCCTTCCTCACGGTCGAGCTGGACAAGCAGAACGCCCCCCAGGTGCGGGTCACGCAGGGGGCGGAGCCGGCCGCTTTTCTGAGATTGTTCGGCGGCGCGATGGTCATCCACCTCGGCAAGAGGAACGAGGCGGGGCGCGGGAGGCGGCCGCGATTGTTTTTAGTCCGCGGCGAGATGGAGGACGAGATTTACCTGATGGAGGTGCCGGCGGAAACGGACAGTCTGCGCAGCAGGACGTCCTTCGCGCTCTTCGACCTCGAACACGCGACGGTGACGGTGTGGCACGGCGCCAAGGCGAGCGAACAGAAACGGAGGGTGAGAATATAAATACAGGGTGTTGGGGAATTCGTGACAGTGCAGCAACTATGTAAAAAAAAATTGAAAAGCTTCTTTCAACGTGCGCATGCGCGATATTTAAAATTTCGTTTTTAACCATTCTGACGTTGGACCCATAAGACCTTGCGGCTTTCAACAAGCAACATGGCCGCCGGCACATTGTCAATTTTTGGATGCGCTATTTTTATGGCAGTAGGAGTCAAGGTGTGGAAAAATAATGCAGATTCAGTATAATTCTGTAATTAATTCGGCGTTTTTTTTCTACATATGTTTTTCATGTAAGCTATTTTTTTCCGAAATGCATATAGAAATTTTGCCAGTTCTTACCTTTAATTATAATAGTATTTTATATAATGTTGACTCATTTTGACGTTCATAGAAGATAGAGTGCCGAACATTAAAAGAACGAACACAATGTAAAAGTGTAAAGGATTAAATACATGAATTAATAAATAAGACTTTTATTGAATAAAATTTGAAGTTTGAAAAAAATATGCTATTTTATAATATTTGCACAATTTCGCCTCACATAAGATGCTTCGGTGTTACTTTGACTTGAGAAGATTACAACCCTTAAAAATTGCAAAAGAGGATATGAAAGTAATACGGGCAAAACAATTTTCACTTATAATACGTTAAACCATTGTCAATTATTGTCAAAAATTTCACTAACTGTAAATTCAAAACAACATTCAGTTGCACCTTGCTTGCTGACAATATGTTACTGTGCCTTAATTTATTTTTAAAAACTGATGACCGATGGTTATTTTGTCTCAGGCTTCTCTGTAACTTGCTGTTTTGACCACGCCTGAATATAAAAAATCTGCAGGTGTCGGATCTAGTTTTACCTGGGAAAGACGGTTATTATTATGACTTGTCGGAAATAAAGCCCAAGAACGCCCCTCAACTAAAATTTCACTTATGTTCAAGATGGATGGAAAATTTTCACATTAACAAATTATGAGTAGAATTTTTAAAATAGATGGGCGCCTTCTTTTCCTTGCTGTTTTGACTACAAACACGAGTTTTCCAATGGTTGGGCATTTTTCTCACAAAACTCGAAAAAGGGTACGGATATATTGACACCAAAAAATGAAAACAACGATGGTACCGGGCACATGACGATAGTAATTACTTAGCTCGGCGTTGCCAATTCTGTTCGGATTTCAGCGATTGATGTTACGTTCTTATAAGAATTTTCTAGAAAAATTACGGCAATGTCACAACTCAGTCGTTGGGGGTGACGCATGCGCAAAAGATCCACACCTTCCACACCCTATCACTTTTTACCATAGTAGGGCCGATATATTATCTTATAGCTATATGGTTGGAACGTAAAGCATGCACGGTATTGGCGAAAAATTACTCCATGATTTTCGGTAGGTGGCGATGGAGGCGGTACGCAAAATCGTCGACGCCAAACCGTCGGAGTTGTTTCCCGAAGAGTTCCTAGCGGAGGTCGCGGTCACCGAGACCGAGGAGAGTGGCGAGGGTGGGGATTTCCTGGACCGCGTTCCCGGAGGGCGCGAACGCTATCTGTCTCTCGCGAACAGCGACGACTCCTACGACCACACGCCGCGATTGTTCAAAATGTCGAGCACGACCGGCAGCTTCGTCGCCACCGAGGTGTTGTGCCCGCACCGGAGTCGACACGTCAGTCCGTACCCGTTCGTGCAATCCGACCTGTACTCCGCCAGTCAGCCGGGTAAGCTCCCTCTAGCGGCTTTTTTCTTTGCCGCAACGTCTAGATAAAATTTCAGTGTTGTTCCTGTTCGACAACGGCCACGAGCTCTGGCTGTGGCAAGGTTGGTGGCCCGAGACGGAAGAGGAGGCGGACCTCGCCGCCGATCAAACGGGTTCGGGTCGGGTGAGGTGGCAGGCGGAGCGCCGAGCCGCCATGCAAACCGCCGTCGCTTACTGGAAGAAAACGCGCGACGACGATCGTCCGGTGGTCGCGTACCTCGTGTGGGCGGGGCTCGAGCCGACCGACTTCCGGAACCTGTTTCCCGCGTGGGAGGAGCGATGCGACGCCGCGGAGGCGAACACTAGAGACGGACGTACGTTCGGGGAGAAGCCCCGCCTCGAGAGCGTTCTGGCGAGACTCTCGAGGACGACTTACCCGCTAGTCGACATTCTGCGCAGACCGCTCCCCGAAGGAGTCGATCCCACGCAGCTCGAGGTCTACTTATCCAACGCGGACTTCGAGGAGTTGCTGTCGATGTCGCGCGAGGAGTTCCGCGACCTGCCGCCCTGGAAGCGAACCGCCTTGAAGAAGGAGAAGGGTCTGTTTTGACCGGCCACGCCCCCTTTTTGTTTTTAATCACATATCGCCGTCACGAACGAATATTTTTTATAGCAGCGTATTTGCTGCGATAGTACCGCGAAACTGCCATTTTACAGTAGAAACGTACTTAAAAGTCTTGCCCCCCTTCCTTACTTACGGCCGATCGGCTCAGTCCACGCGAGCCCTTATCCCCCCCTTTCCCGAGAGCCCGTTCTCGCTTTTAGTTTGTGATTTTGAAAGTGTCATTAACTGTGATTAGGATATTCGATGTGTATTTGTAACATATTTTATTTGTAAATATAATATCGTACGAGGTGCCTTGCCCCCACTCCCCGCCATATGCAATTTAATAATGTTCTCCGCCCCTCCGCGCTCCTCGCTCCCACCGAAATTCCGCTTTTGTACTAAATTTTAGGGTCAAACGTCGATTGTATAATAATTACGTGTGTAACAGTGTTTCTTTTTTTGTATATTTTTTTCTCATTTCTCTAATAAATATTTTCGATATTACTCCTCGGTATAATGTTTTTTTTAATATGCACGCGGTAAAAATTTCGGCGTCTTAGCGCGTCGTCGCGACGCCTTTGTTCTCGATGATGTCACACCCTGACCAAAGCTTCATCCTCTCCGGGTAGTACCCGCGTTGGGGTTGAAACGCGGGGCCCGTCTCGTAGTTCCCGGTGATGTTGAGCAAGCGGACGTCGTCGGGGGTGACGTCGACGCTCAGCGGCGTCCAGATCGAGCGGTCCAAGACCGGACTCTCTGGCGGATTTGGATCCCTGCGAAAATTAGTATCTGTTTAGTCAGACGTCGCATCTCAAATCGCTACTGGCAAGGCATTGTGTAAGCGACAGTTATATTTTTGATTCTACCCGCTAGGTGTCGTCACTTATAAAGGTGTCTTGGTTGGTCGTCAGATATCAAAGCTACGTGCCTGGTTGTCACCTATAAAAACTGTTTGATTATTTCTCACATATCAGAGATACGTGCCTGGTTGTTACGTGTCAAAACTACTTTCATGGTCGACACGTATCAAAGCTACTTGGTTGGTCGTCACGTATCAAAGCTACAGGCCTGGTTGTTACGTATAAAAACTACTTTCTTAGTCGTCACTTATAAAAAACTCCTTGTTGGTCGTCAAGCATCAAGGCGACGTGCCTGGTTGTCACGTATAAAGACTGTTTGCTTATTTATCACATATCAAAGAAACGTGCCTGGTTGTTACGTATCAAAACTACTTTCTTGGTCGTCATTTATCAAAGCTCCTTGCTTGGTCATCACGTATCAAAGCTACGTGCCTGGTCGTTACGTATGAAAACTACTTGCTTGGTCGTCACGTATAAAAACTGTTTGCTTATTTGTCACATATCAAAGATACGTGTAAAAACTCCTTGCTTGGTCGTCAGGTAACAAGGCGACGTGCCTGGTCGTTACGTATCAAAACTACGTGCCTAGTTATTTATAAAAACTACTTTCTTGGTCGTCACTTACAAAAACTCCTTGCAAGGTGGTCAGGTATCAAGGCGACGTGCCTGGTTGTCACTTATAAAGACTGTTTTCTTATTTATCACGTATCAAAGATACGTGCCTGGTTGTTACACAAAAATTATTTGCTTGGTCTTCACGTATCAAAGCTACTTGCTTGGTTGTCACTTATCAAAGCTACGTGCCTGGTTGTTATAAAAACTACTTTCTTGGTCGTCACTTATAAAAACTCCTTGCATGGTGGTCAGGTATCAAGGCGACGTGCCTGGTTGTCACGTATAAAGACTGTTCGCTTGTTTGTTACGTACGTGCCTGGTTGTTACGTATAAAAACTATTTTCTTGGTCGTCACATATAAAAATAACTTGCTTGTTCCTCACGAATCAAGGCTATGGACCTAGTTGTCACGTATCAAAAACAGCTACGCTACGTGCCCACCTGTCGCATATACAAACCTTTTAGGTGTTTATCACGTATCAAAGCTACGTGCCTAGTTGTTACGTATAAAAACTACTTGCCTGGTTGTCATACATGAACGCTACGCTACGTGCTTGATTGTAACATAAAAACCTGTTACATGTTCATCACGCATTACAGCTAGGTGCTTCGTCATCACGTATCAAGGGTACACGCCTGCTGCAAGGCTACGGGTTTAATCGTCACATGTCTAAACGTGGTTGTTTCGTATAAAAACCGCTTGCTTGTTCATCACGTATCAAAGCTAGGTGATTGGTGTAAACGACAGTTATAAATTTTTGCCACACACGCTAGACTGTTACGTATTTATAACCAAACACTGCTAGGTGATAAAAAATTTGTAAACTTTGGAAAAAGTGAAGGGCATGAAAATATTCTTTTATGTGAACATAAGGAGATTTGGGAGAAAGTCTTTTGAGGTTGGCTCGTCACGTTCTTACCCGTACGTGACGAAGTTGCTCCAAAGGGCGACCATTTTCTCGCTCAAGACGACGTCCTGACCCGTCAGCTTGGGGAACAGGTCGTCAGAGCTAAAGAGGTACAGCAGTTCGTCACAATGCGACGCCCCCCACTCAAAGTCTATATCCTCGTCGGTGGCGGCGAAGTAATCGCCGTACGTGTACCGCCCCCTGTAGTCCAAATTGTACAGATAAATCGGCTTCGTGGCTTTGGAGGCCTGCAGCATCAACGTCTGGTACACCCCGTACACGACGAGGCGGTCGGAATAGAGCTGAAAGTGTCGGCTGATTTCCACTACCAGAACGCCCTTCACTTCCACTTACGTTGAGAAAACCTTGGACGCTCCTCGGATCAGAAACGTTCACGTACTCTTGACCGCTCAGATAGAAATCGATCAACTGCTGGTAGAGACGTCTCGGGTTATCTGGGCTGCTGAGCCCCAATCCCAGGATGTCGATGAGGATCTGGGCGAAGTTGGCGTTTAACGCGTCTCTGATTTCCTTCGGCCTGATTCGGCTCGGCGCTCTGAGGATGCCCTCGTTCTGGACCAGACCCACCATCCAGGGTACGTCCCTAAACTCCCCCGTTTCGATATACTCCGTTGGTGTTTTGGTGATGAACGGGTCGGGATTGTTGATGCTCTCTCGTTCGACTACGGCCGAGAATACAGTCACCGTGTCGCCGTAGAAGGTCCTGAGCAGATCCTGCGACTGCATTATAGTCTGAGCCGGTACCGCCCTCAGACATTGGACGATAGCGGTGGTATTGGTGGTGTTAGGGCATCCCACTGCTAGCGACTGGGCGATAGTTACTTGGAGACGGACCTCGTTCAACGGCGTACCCCAGATCACCAGGCTCGTTGCGCTGTCAGTCACCACCTGGTTAAACAACCCTGGAAGAAAGCAACGTAGACGCGGTACCGGGTACTTCCGCGATGCGTCTACCTTTCGAAGAAGGGCTCAACATGTGGTAGTGGGCGCTCACTGAGCCCGCACTCTGGCCTGAAATCGTGACCCTGTCTTTGTCGCCACCAAATGCCTCGATGTTGTTCCTGATCCATTTGAGAGCCAGTACTTGGTCCTTTAGACCCCAGTTGCCGGGCGCGGCGTCATCGAGGGTCGAGAGGAATCCTGGAACCACCTCTGAGTGTACCGACGCTAACATCCACTTCGGCGGTACTCACCGAAAGGCCCCAGGCGGTAATTGAAAGTCACCAATATAACGTCTTTATCCATCAGATAATCCGGACCCAAGTAGCCGGTGGTACTGCGACCGGCAAAAAACCCGCCCCAATGGATGAAGACGAGTACCGGTAGCAGTGTACCATTACCGGAATCATCTCTGCGGTAAACACCGGTCTGGAAACGCCCTTAAAGTACTCCAAACGCGCGCGTAAACTTGCCGGGTACTACCTTGGGCGCGTAGACGTTGAGATAGAGGCAGTCCTCCTGGCCTTCGATTGGTGGGTTGTTGGAAAACACGTAGTTCCGTTGAATACAAATCGGCGGTTCTTTCGTGGCGTCCAGCGCGAATTCGGGATCCCACGGCTCGACATCTTGCGGAGCCTGAAACGGTGAAAGGTGGTACCCGTTTCACCTTCTTTCGCGTCGGCCGACAAGGTCGCCGGACGTCTAGACGACCGAGGGTCAGGCGATTCTTGATTTACAAAACAAATTTCGCCGAAGCGCGGAAGGAATCGCTTTGGATGACACGCGTTTCGGCGAAACAGTACCCACCGGGTGACCTTTAATTAAGCGATTTTTAACGGCGCCCATGCCAAGGTTGCCTTTTTTAAAAGTATTTCGATATGCACTCAAACTTGTTTTTATCTAATCAACAACACGGACTCCAAGTGCAGTGACGGGAGTGCGATATCCATGTGAAAATGACTGTTTTCGCCTAACGGGTAGTACCGTTCGAGGTCGTTATTGGCAAAAAAGTTTAAAATGTAGTAATAAAGAACCAAATTGAATAATTTAGTTTAATCCATTGAAATAGCAGTAGCGGGTACTACCAAGAATGTGTGATTTCCATGTCACGATAGAACGCGGGGACCCTTAAATCTTAAAATAACCCTAGATTACCAAAAAACAGTAAAATGAACGAAATGAAATAATTAACTAGTAGCACCAAAACTTAAAACAAGTACGAAATACCCGTTAATCCTAAACGTAGACTCCATAGTTCTGAAATGGTACCAAGAACGACTTAAATCAGCGAGCAGTGCCCATGTTGTTACTCAGACCACTAAAGGCACCAGACTCGATTGAAACTTACAAAAAAAAACGCTTCAACCCAAATTATCCATAAAAATCTCGGCTAACAAAGGACTAAGTGGGTTTCCCATAATCAAACCTTCTTTAGAGGTATAAATCTGTCCATTAAATTCAAAATAATTTTGGTCTAAAGATATTATTAAGCAATCTAATAAATCTTGATTCACCAATGGGCTAACCTGTTTCCGAGTTAGGGTGAAATCTACTAAATCTATCACATCCATAGGTGGAATAGTGGGAAATAAGTTTTGTACATCAAAAGTAAATAGTGTTGCGTTAGAAGGGATTTTGATATCTTTATTTTTGTTGATTAATTCAAAATAATTTTTTATTGCAAATTTTAGTTTAAAATCTGTGTGTGTTAACTGCTGGAGCTGTTACATAAGACAGGACTAATAGATTGATAATTGTTAAAAAATATTTTTCTTTGTCGCTAAATAGTGTGAAGGTAGTAATTACTTCCTTGATTTGTTTTTGACATAACTCGGTAGGATCGTGTTTGATAGATATGACTGTCTTCCCATTATCTACAAGTGTAAATATTATGTTATTTTCAGAAGCTTTGTTTTTGATAGTTTTTACTAGTGACATTTGAAAAATTTCTTTGTGTTTGTTGTTATCTATTAATTGAGAGTTTATTATATTCGCTAATACATGTTTGTTTAAATTAGAATCGTTAATGTCCTTAATTGCTAATTCTCTATTAATGTACGAGTGTTCTACTGCGGTACTACCTCCTATCAAAACTTACCGCGAACCTAAGCTCGCCGACCGGCGGTTTCGCGTATGGTATCCCCGTGAAGGAGTCGTACTGTCTACCGCCTCGGGAGTACCTCGTAACACCTCTAACCGACCCGTAGGCGGTACCGGCGACCGGGAATTTGAAGTCGTACGCTTCGACCACGAAGGCGATCGCGACGCAAACGAACACGGACTTGATGACTGCCATTTCACCGACAAATAACTCGCGTCCGGCGCCTCATTTTTATATAAGGCGCCGTCGCGCACGTTGATACAGGGTGGTGCGTCGAAGAGAACCTGGGAAACGCGATGACCTAATTCAGTATTCTGTCATTTGCAAGAGTGATTCGGAATTCGTTTCGTGATCCTTCTGAGTATACGAAACGTTTGCGATATTGCCTTTTTATTGCATCTGTTTGTAGTCCTGTGATTGACTGTCGATCAGGTTATGACTGTTTCGAATTGCAGATCTATACTTTGAGTGAGGTTGATAAAAATCAGTTCACAACAGTGGGTCAGCACTGAAAGCGACCTTAATACCTTTTACAAATCCTAGTTAAAAACAATATACCAAGTTGATGCCAAAGTGATTCTTAAAGTTGCTCATCGCAAATTACGAGCCTTTCAAATCCCAGATTATAGACTTGTGGCTTATGTAACGTCCACAACATTTGGTCAGGACTGAAGGCGACCTTAGCACTTTTTATGGTCCCTGGACGTTCCAGTTCGCTGCCGACGTGACTATTAAAGTTACTCGTTCGAAATCACAGGTGTGACTCCTCCGAATTCCAGATTGTAGACTTGTAACTTCTGTGCTGGTTGACAACAGTTTCTTAGCATTGAAAGCGGCTTTCATACATTTCACTGTCCGAGAAATTTCCAGCTTGTTGTCATCGTAACTCTTAGTCGTCGACTTGCGGCTCATATGAGCACTAGTGAAAACAATTACCCCAAATACCTAACTTGTTGCCAAAGTGACGCTTAAATTTTCTCGTCCGAAATCACAACTATCCTTCATCCGAATTGGTCATCACTGAAGACGGCTTTTACACTTTTTTCGGTCCACAGAGGCTCCAGTTTGCTGGCAACGTTACTTTCGAAGTTGTTCGTTTGAAAACAGTTTATGACTCTTCCGAATTGTAGATTGTGGACCTGCAACTTGTTTGACACTGGTTAAAGTCAGTTTACATCAGCTGGTCATCAATGCTACTTATACTTCTTATAATCCGTCAACCTTCTAGTTTGTTAGCAACGTGACTCTTCCGAAATCACAGTTATGACTCTTTCGAATTCCAGATTATAGACCTGTATCTTGTGAGATGTTAAAATCGATTCAGATGAGGCTGAGGGTAATCTTAATACTTGTTCAGGTGACTCTTAAAGTTACGTCCGAATTCGAATAAGTCACGGCTCTGGGCCGTGGGCTTGCGATTAGCTCCGTAGATTTTTTTGGACGCTCTAGCGCGAAGCCCGGCCCGAAGGAAATCGCCATTTGTCCGCTTGTTTTCGCGAGTCGTTCTTGCCCGACCTAAATGGCAAATTGTCCGTTTTTAATAGTCGATAAGTAAAGCAAAATATATGTCACGCGTTTTATCAGAGTGGTTATCGGTGTTGCGGATCAGAGAGCTTCGTCGACGACCCATTTTGCTCGGTTATTATTTTAATTGCGAACCGGTATTTTTTATAATGAGCGGACCGCCTTGACACGTGCGCATAACGAAGGCCCGGCTGCATTTTCGGCGACGAGTTTCTGAGCCTTTCGCTGACCTATCTTTGCAAAAAAGCTCGTTGCATTATCATAAAATGTCAACAATAGAGTTAATAATTTGTAGAGTTAATACTAAAAAGATTTTGATTCATGTAACAGTTATAATTTTTTTATAAAATTTTTATTGTATATAAATCGCCATATTCACTTTTATACATATTTATACCATGTATATTGATATTGTTCACGAATTTTAAGCATTGATGTGTATCAATAAATGTTATTACTATTATTAATGGGTAAATTGAGACATTTCAATAAAAGTTTTCACAAAAAAAATCTTTCCATTATAGAATGGAAATAAACGCGACCCCATTGGTCGTGACGTCAGCGCTTGTATCTGTATTATCACATTATTAGACCCGACAAATTGTTTCTATTATTATTAAGACAGCAGGTTCTGTTTCGGTTGCGATTGTTGATCAGGAATAAAGAATGTACTTTACTGACGTTCCATCAAACACTTTTAGTGATTAGTACTAATATTTTACTGACTACCAGTTGCAACATTACTTAGTCTGTAAGCTTCTTCTTGCTGCACTGAAGTCCCAAATAATCCAATTTTCTTGTAATTCCGGAATTCTTAATATTTTAGTCAAAGGGACATAATTTATGATTTGACGGGATTTTCAATTGCCTTTCACGATGAAATACCGGATGTTATACTTTTTCATTTGAATTTCGATATTGAACAATTTCAATTATTGTCCATGCTTGCTGTGTGCATCATTATCGTCTCGTAGCAGACTAAATACAGCCATTTTTGTTTTCGTCGCGGAGCAGACGCAGATAATAACAAACGACAACTAGAGAAGCGTCTAATTATAGATCACAAACATCCTAAATCCTTGAAATCGCCAACGTAAACACCAATTATTAGTTCTAACGTTATCTGAAGTCTCGACGAACACCCGGAACGTTCCGGAGCGACCCTCTTCGCCCCCCACCCCCCGCCACCCGGGGGCGGTTATTTTTACACGACGACACTTATTAATTTCCGAGTTATTAAAATGGGATCACGGCGCGTTAACCCTGTCGGAGGACAATATTTTTTTTCCCGAGCCGGAGGATATAATATTGCCTTCCGGGCGTGGGGCGAATATGGCGCGAAAGGCTAATAAAAACGGAGGCCTGATTTATCGGTTCCTTTTGTCGGGGACCGTTTTAATTGCGCCTTCGACTGCCGATAATATCACGAGCGGCGCAGGCGGTAGGATACGAACAAACCGGTTAACGCGCGGAACGCCGCTGGCGCCGGGATTTTTTTTTGTGACGACGCGCTTATCTAAATTTCGACATATTTTCGGATTAACGCTGCAGCGCGGGGCGAACAAAAAAAACAACACGAATCGACGCCATTACAAACTGCTTCGGAAATTTAGTGCCGGTTTAATCTTTTAATATCGATATACGGGTGATTTATTCCGGTCCGCGCGGGGTCGGCCGGGGATCGATAGACGTCACGAGTCGCCCCTGGTCTCTCCTTCGCATTAAATATTGATTGAAAACTACATAAGGCTTTTTTATTAACCGACGGACGCGTTTACGGTTCACTACGGTCGACTACGTTACAAGTTACACGTCGGCCGTACGCATCTACGCTTAGCTACGTAACACTACGATCCGAATTGCGCAAAGACTAAATTCATAGGGGGATTTTATTGTGGTAATGTATTCTACACAACCGCGGCAATTTTAGTCGAAATGAAGTGTAATTATTGATAACTAGTTGAAGTATAATGGTAATCGGAGGTGATTAATGTTTACGAGGTTAGCGCCAAAATTTCCCGGATTGACATAGATGCAGCTCCAGTATCACGTTAAAACTTTGTCTTCTTTTAAATATATATCTTCGTAGGCAGCATTTTAAACAATACGTGTCCGAAAAAATGTCGCAAATAATGCAAATTGGGTATAGAGCAGTCATAAAGTTTTTAACAAAAGAAGGGTTAGTTAAAATTATTAAAGAAAGGCTGGATGGTGTGTACGACCAAAGTTCTCCTTCGTATTCTGCATTGAAAGAATGGGTAAAACGTTTTCGAATGGGGCAGGAGCCCATTGAAGATGATTCAAGAACTGGTCGACCAGTGGAAGTCATAACGGAAGATATTGTTGCGATTGTGGAAGAGGTGGTATTGAGTGATCGACGAGTGATCGGGTTTTTTGGAACTCTGTGGGTCGGAACCGAAACCTGTGACAGAAACTATTGTGACGGGAGATGAAACTATGGTTCTTTATTATGACCCTCTATCGAAAAAAGAATCAATGGAGTGGCGTCGTAAGGGTGAAGCACCTCCAAGAAAATTCAGAGTATGCCAGTCAACAAAAAAGGTGATGGCAACGATCTTTTGGGATTATGAAGAAATTCTTTTGATAAATTTTAAAGAAACACCACTGTCAATGGTAAATATTACGCAACATTATTACATAAATTGCGAGACTGCATACGTGTAAAACGTCGAGGAAAACTGACCAGAGGCGTGCGAAGACACGATCATGCATCTGTCCATACTGCTGGTGTTGCACAAGCTACCATTTTAGAGTGTGGGTTCCAACAGATAGATAATCCTCCCTATAGTCCAGATATGGCAACCAGCGACTATTATTTGTTCGGATATTTGAAAAAGGACTTACGTGGACAGCGGTTTAATGACGAAGTTGAGTTAAAAGAGGCTGTTCTAGCTCATTTTGTAGACAAACCAAAATAATGTATTTTTAAAAGGATTGAGTTGTTAATAAAGAGATGTAATAAGTGTATTGAAGTTAAGGGGGATTATATTGAAAAATAATAAAAAAAAATTACTGTTTCTTTCATATTCAGGCCGGGAAATTTTGGCGCTGCCGGCGTATATCTGTCTAAATAAAAAAATAAGGTCATTGCAATGGTGCAAATAGGGTTGCCTTTTGTGAGCGTTTTAACTTTGCGCAACAAGCGCCTACGCAGCTCTACGGATCCCGGAACGGCTGTATTTAACGCCAAAATCAATCGGCTCTCGTTCGACCCCCCGACCCCCAACCCCGCGTTTGGAAATTGCTCTCTCCTGTATCGAGTTACGCAAAGCAAAGCAAAGGCGAGTCGCCGGCGCTACTGAGAGGGGCGAAAACCTACACCCCGACCCGTTCGTTGTCCGCCTCGTTGATATTTGGAGCCCCCTCCCGCGTTAAAATTCGAAGGGGGGCCCAGGTGGTAGCCGTGGAGCGTCCGCCCCCCGCGGGGTTCTCTTCATCCGGAGTCCGTATCGGATTATTCTCTCGAAAATATTGAGACGACGGCGATACGGCGTCGTAGTCCTCGCCCCTCACCTCCCGACCCGTTATTGAAATGGTAAAAGCTTTCGGAACTTTCCCCGCGAGTGATTCCCGGGGGCTTTTTTACGTCCCGTCGACGGGGGCCCCATAAAACTTTATTCTTTGTCGCGGGGAATTTGTTTTAGACTCCGCTAAGGTCTCGAGTATCAACCCCGCCCC